CCCGCTCCATGTGCCATAACCTCACCCCCCATCTGCTCCATGTGCCATAACCTCACCCCCGCATCGCCATGATGCAGGGTCCCAGGAAGCACGCCATGCCCTACACAAGATAACGTGAGATGATTATATGTTCATCTCTTGGGTTGGGGTAATTTTTTTTTTTTTTTAGTACAATGAACAAATTATGTCAATTTCATCTTCATCCTTTGGTCTCTCATCAGATTGTTAAAGTGCTGAACTTGTACACTCCTGTGAATGAGTTTGAAGAAAGGGTTTCAATAACGTTCATTCGAACAATACAGGTGAGTACAAAAGCGGATTTAAGGTTTCATGTCTGTGTGTGTGTGAGTGTGTGAGTGAGTGAGTGTGTGAGTGAGTGTGTGAGTGTGTGAGTGTGTGAGTGTGTGAGTGAGTGAGTGTGTGAGTGTGTGAGTGTGTGAGTGTGTGAGTGAGTGAGTGAGTGAGTGAGTGAGTGAGTGAGAGAGAGAGACTTTGACTTTGAGAGGTTTGACTGGGTTTTGACTGGAATGCAGTCAGTTACCATTAATTGCATTGTAAGGAGATTCTGTGGGAAAGCCCACACGAAGATGTGTGTGTGTGTGTGTGTGTTTGCTTGCCTCTACGTATCTCCGGCTAACCTGGCAGCTGCCTGTTCTGTTCAGACACGCTTGCGAGATCGGAAGGAGTCGCCCCAGCTACTCATGGACACAAAAATCATCTACCCCGTCACATTCCCCTTCAACCCCTCCTCGCTCGCGCTGGAGACTGTTCAGATACCGTCTAGTCTGAATCTGAGCTTCCTCGTACGAGTGTAGAAGAATCCGCTCTCAGATGTCTGCAGATCTGGGGGACCCTCCTGCGGGAGATGTGACGCTAGCTCAGGTGTCTGAGTCTCAGCTAGAGACCCTGTTAAAATCATATGCTTAGTAGAAAAAAAGTCTTACAATAAAAAGCTTTGCATAATTGCAAACAGATTTATGTGACATTTAAGGTAAACCTTTGGCATTTTGGGGAAAGGGGTGTTGGAGCCTTAATGCCACCGGAATGGGTTAATATTAACCGTTATAGTTGAAGTAGGGAGTGCGCGGTCCTCGGGGCGCGTGTCTGAGGTGGGTACTCGGAGACAAAGCGAACTGCATTCGTAATTAAATTAGTTTTTAGCTGATTAAATTCCCATCATTTCCACTACAAGCATTCTAAATAAATATTAATAATTTATTTTGCCTCGTTTTCCGATAACACAAAAACACTAATAGTGAATGTTTGCCAGTTTCATCATGCAAACAGTTTAAGTATGGATTTAACATACACCTCTAATCGACGATGATTTAATTTCTGTCATTGTTACGTACGCAGATTTCTGCACATATACACAGTTAATCCTACTTGCAAAAATCACCATGCTTCTCCAAAAGCCCTGTTCCCGTGTCCCTTCTGTTCAGTGCAATCCTGCGTAATCCTGGGCTATTGCATGACCTCGGTACAACTGGAAAAACAAGCACCTGCGCTTCTGTGAACAGGATATCGGGGGGGAGAGTCCGTTTGAGGTCGGGGGGTGGGGGAGTCCGTTTGAGGTCGGGGGGTGGGGGGGGCGGAGGGCGTGCCGCTTCCTTCGACACGTTTATGGGGGAAACGTACGTGCTGCATAGTTTCTTCGAAATACTTCACTACGTAATACACTGTAAACAAACTATATGCAGATAAAGAAACCTCGTGGGAGATGTAACATTACCACTGTTGTTTATTATACACATCTACATTAAACAGAAAATCTATTTTAAAAAACCTGAATGGTCGATTAGTGGACTGTTTTTAACGTGATTGTGTGTTTGCCTGTACTGCGACTTTATCACGCTTAGGTGGCGTTATACTGCAGCCAAGTCCTTCTGTACTGATCTGTGCGGGTTTAAATATCGATGAACATCTCTGCCGATAAACTGGAGCCTGTACAGCACATGCCGCACTGTCGCCTTTGTGAACCGCACAGTCAGTCTGGTTTAGTAGGTTTCTGTTTCCATATTCATGCTGTGGATTTCAACGCCGGTGTGGATGCTGAAGTTCGGCCTTAGCTTTTCCCGGTGCCGTTAGCTGTGGGTGGGCTTCACCGTGCATCTTCGGGCTCCGCCGCAGGGGGGCGCACTAACGTCACACCGGTCCGGTCGCAACCTTTCATTTCAGTCAATATGTTTTTCGATATTCAATAACCTTGATCATATGTATATTTGAAAATCCTGTATGATATTATGCAAAGCCGTTTACTGTAAGGGTTTGTTTTATTTATGTTAGTTTAAACTATCTCCTGATTCAGCTAACACAAAGGCATAATAGGCCTAATCAGTGGTATTATATTTTGAATGGTATTATAATTAACAAGTGGTAATAATTGGGTTAACTGATGATATTATTTTTGTCAAGTGGTTATTTCTCGATGTAAATGATTCCCCCGCCATCCCCTTGCACTAATCGAGCAGTCAGGTGCTCCCTCACTCGTACAAGTGCCGTCGCCATTACTGCTTACATGAAGGTTGGTGTTTGCTTTACAGTCTCACAGCTGTATCTTTCATAGGATTAATGAAATGTGCAAATTGTAAAAGAATGTGCATCCATCGGATTCATATTTTCTCATTAGTTTGTGAATCCAGGCTGAGAAATGCTGGATACGTGTCTATATTATTGGTACATCCTTTATGATCAGCCATCGTATTTTCGTACACAATAATATGAAATAACGAGACTTGGTGAACAAAAGGTGATTTATGCCTGCACTTAGAATACAAATTAAAAGGGAATATTTTAGTCTTTCTCAGCTCTTACCTATGTATTTGTATTATTTTTCAAAAACCTTAATGACATCATTAAATGCAATTTTTCACTGCAAGCCTTTTTCTCTAAAGTAATACAACGGCAATTTTTTGCCAGCATATGCACAACGAAAGCTGGTAAGCGGCTGTATTTCCTCGTTAACATGATACGATTTTTCAGACTTTGCTTAAGACGTTAAATGCTGGTGAGACTTGATTACTGAATAAATGTTGCATCTCTTCCAACTGTCCAGAGTGTTCTTGCTGCCTTCACGCTTTGACGTCCTCGAGCGATCTTTTATGGTTTGTATAATTGATACACAGATTTCCCAAACTTGAACCTGCAGATTCATGACAGTTACTGATTTTTTTATTTTATTTTTTTTTTTTTTAACTTGATTTTTGGGAATAAATTTCTTTTGTGCATTTTAGGGATTTGAAATTAAATTTGATTTTGCTTCTGATATATGTTCTGAATGTTAGTGAAGTGAAATAATGGTGTTTGCACGAAAGTGAATTTTTGAATTTTCTTTAGAGTTTCTGAGATATTTCAGTGCATTACCAAGATTAGACATGCAAGGCTGTTGACATTTCAGCCCAGGTAATCTCCCACTGGCCTTGTCTGTAGTTTAATACTCTGACCCTAACAGTAACCTCCAACATTACATCAGTAATCCTGACTCTGGAAGCTGTGTGGATGGTCGGACCTAGTTTGGCTGGTCCTTCTGTGATAGTTTTATTTTTTGTTTTTAAGATAAGATGAAGTTTATTAATGCCACAAAGAAAAGTTTTTCTATTTTATCCGTGAGGATCTGAAGCTCAGAGATTGTGTGTAGATGTTTGGATGTGATCAAATTAAAGATGAAAAATGACGCCGTCTACCTGTTTCTTTCAAATCTATTTTACCAGACAGACTTTCACTGAGGATGTTTTTTTTTTTTTAAATAGTTTATGAATACCATAAAAATGTATTCAAATGTATACGAAATAATGGAATCATTATGTTTCATATTTGGGTTTTCTTTTAACATTAGATAAGACCAGAAAACATTTATGAGAATAATAATCCATCAGTGAATCCAAAAAGCATTACAGTGACATTAATTGCAACAAAATAACAAATTGTGGGAAATGTGCGGAGCCGACTGTGACCAGCATGGTTACAGAGGGAAGCATCAGAGAGCTTATCAATGAACGACTGTGTGGAAATACAATAGATTATTTACCAACAGTGGATCCTCTACTTCGGTTGTCTACTTGGGCACACAGGATATTAGGATATTCCAAGACGTTAATGAATACCTAAGGTGAAAATTTAAGACATATCTATTCATAAGGATATAATACTGAATAATTTAAATATACACCCTTATATTGCACGAGGAACAGCTCTTTCATACCTCGTAGTTCTGCCAAATGTGACGGGTGTGACAGACTTGTATAATACATTAGATTTCATCCATGTAGGTCATGTTCAAAATATAATTCTTCAGTAAATCAATCGCCTTCTAATTGCTGTAATTATTTTTGATCTTCATCAAGCTGTGACAGTTGTCCTGGAAAAGCTGAGTAATGTGAATTTAATATCTGGCAAAGGGACAGATGAAGTCAGAAATGGCCAGAGCTCATAGAGACCTTAACGGTCATGACCGCCTGATTTTCAACACGTTTCAGGGAATCCACACAGTCTTTTAAATTGCAGCTCTTCCATTCCAGAGAAACCCTACAGGTGTCAAACGTCTGTCTACTGTGAGATAATAGACAGCAATAGTACCCAGCCTACCATCTGTCCGTTCTGCAGAACCATTTTCAGAGTTCGGGTGAATTTACACAGAAGTCGTTTTGGGGTCTTTGCTGAATCAGTGACAATAATCACTTTGCAGGTGACAGACTTGAGACTTAGCTGATGACTTAACTTTGCAGAGGTATTAACATGTTTTTCATGTGTATGAAGGGTAAGTCTGATATTCCATCTTGATGTGTCCTATGCAGATTTTCTTTAATTATTTCCTTTACATTTCCAAACTTAATAGCTGTGTGGTGTCACTATTCCTATAGTGAAATGCAGACCCCCTGAATATCCTGCAGCATAGAGTACGTTTCCAAATAAAGCATTAAATTGGCTTCTGATGGCATGGAGATGATGTCCTAGCATCTTCTTAGTCAACTGCATCTGATCTAATGAAACTCTTTCTATAGTCATAAGTCTCCTTAGAAAATTTCAGTGAAGTCAGAAATTTCTGGAATGATAAGTTCCACTGCTTGCGTGTAACGGTATGGATAAGAATGTCTGGTCAGCACTTAATCGTAAACACAGAAACTTTAGACAGGTCAAATACTGTAATTTTCGCAGCACTGTTAAGTTATGAAGTACCTTAAGTACTTGTACTTAAACTTCCTGTTAAAGAACCAACTTTCTTGAAAGCTTCAGACAAGGCTGAACAAACTTCAGTTTTTTAGCTGAACTGACTCAAACTGCACCACTAAAGCAGAATGATCCATTGGGTCAAAGTTTAAAACTGAGTGTGTGCTTGGGTCACGTATGTGCAAGTCCTGTGCACGTCTCCGAGAAGAACCTCCGACAAGCCGCCATTACTGCTGTCCTCGGGTAAGAATGAAAAATGGAACCTGTAAATGTAAATATGTGTCCTTATATTTTAGTCGAGAACATGATTGCATGTTAACGTTTTAAAGTTAGTATTGGGTAGAACATAGTTACACAGCAAATGTGCCAATGTTAAATTAACACTGCATGGTGTCTATATGGGTCCACACCTTTCAGTGTTACCTTTAACACTTTACAGTGTACAGTGAGTGTTGTTTTTACAGTATTAATCTTAACTGTAATAGTGTTCAATTTACACCGTAGGGTGTTAAGTCAATGAGTCTCCACCTCCACACATCTGCCCCATTTTAATATGCGCAACTCATGAGGATCAGAAGAGCCATCCCAGATCTACCCACCATCATGAGAAAGACTCTGACCAAAAAGGACCTTACAGCTTTTTCTTGTTTTATATTGAAGCTTTGCTGGCCCAGTTCTGACTGATCTTGGAGATTAGAGAGCTGTGGTCCTGGTGGTTTCTTCCTGATATGTGGTTTTATAGCATGTTGGCGTCAAGTCAGAGAGAAATTGTTGGAGATGTATAGGACACATCTCCTGAGTGGCATATATGTTAATGGTGTGGGGGTGTATTTGATTGCCAGTCCTGCCCTTGGATGATTAACATATGCGGAAAGGTGTCGGGACAGTTGATACCCTTTTCTGTCCAGCTCCTGATACCGCCCCCTCCCCTGTAGACTGGTGGTGCTGGATGTATATTCGCATAGTATGACACTGTACTGTTTTTGACTTAACAGATTTTTTTTTATCCAACTCAATTGTGATGAATAGGGCAAGAGAACAAAAACCACAGAAATGGCTCTTGTGTGCTAGCCATGCAGTGACTAGGTTAGATGGTTTAGCCTCTATGCCTTAACTAGAGAAGGCATGTTACTATGAAAACCTGATTGTTTTGGTTCTCTTCCAAGCCTAGGCTCCAAACCATATGTACCTCTATGACTGCATGAGGTTTCTTTGGGGATGCACATACAGTATATAAGAACTACACTACTCAGACAAATTAGCATACAGGCAGCCCAGAAGAACTAACAATACCATGTGGTAAAGACTAATATCAGTGCCATACCATCCTCGCTTGTGGTGGGTTTCTAAAAATTACGCTTAATGAAAATCTGAATATTAAATGAGCAAAGTGATTTGATTTGTTCTTCTATCCCAAGTTGTGGTCTAAAAACAAAGGGTACTGTTTCTGGCCACTGTATCTTGTTTATAGCTATTTATGCAAGGATGCAACAATGCGTTGTAATAAAGTGGACTGTTGCAGTAAACTGGTTGTTTCAAATTATATTCATTAGTTGAGCATGAGCAGTTTTATTGGTTTTAAGTGCAATAATCTAATGTATTAGATTGACTGACTACTTTAAGTTGAACTGATTTGAAAAAATTATATTAACCAAACTTGAAAAAAGTAAGTGTGAAAAAATGAAGTAATATTTTAAGTTGATCCATTGTTTCATTTTTTACAGTGTACTTTTACATCTATACATTTTATTATTTAGTAGACACTTTTCATCCAAAGCAACATACATTTTGGGCCAGACAGTCCCTGCAATAATTGGGGTTATGGACTTTACTCAAGAGCCGAATAGTGAAATCGTCCATCCGATTACTCACCCTTGAATTTGTGTCGGGGGTTCTCCTATATTGCAGGCAGTGTCCCAGCTCGCTGAGTCACGCATTTAATATCGACACGTCAGTAACTCACAAACACAAACAAAAGTTGCTTTTTACGGACGATCACAATACAGTCTCTTTTTTATGATTCATTCCTTGCAAATGTAGTTTAGTCCTGAATAATATATACAGTTATTTATCACGGACGCGTTGCTTCAGCCTGTCTTGCTCTCCGTCACTGGCTGCCCAAACTAATGGCCGTAGGAGGGTTTTTTTTTTCCCACTGTCTTGAATTTTTCGGATTTAATACCAACTCGATCTGTGTGTCTTTTTCTTGCTGTGAACTGTGCTGAAGAAGAAAACACAGCCTATATATGCGAATTCAATCTGTTGGATATATACAGAGAAAACTGCTTAATAAAAGAATCAACCGCTAACAGATTATGTAATCTACTCATCACATTCAGAATACGTAGCCGTCACACCGCACTGAAAAACAAGTATTGTCAGGGGTGCAGAGTGCTTTTGCCTGGCTCAAGCATAACATCACCTGAGAAATAATTAAATTACTATGAATGGAAATTATTAGAATACCCTGTGTTACCTAAAGATAGTGACTGGAAAATGACTAGGCAACTACGACAGCCCCTGGGAAAGGTGCGCGCGCAATACGTTTGCTCTCGTTAAAGCGTATCTAATAGACTTTCAATTGATTTTTGTGATCTAAAACTGCCGCTTAAGGGTGCATTGGGAATGTGTTTGTAAATGAGGAAGCGTAGGAGCGCTGCGATGTCCTGCTGGGGGCGCGGGCGGCGGGCATCCGCCTGACGTCACCGCATCTCCATCATAACCTTCGCTCCGGAGCGGAGATCTCCCGGACATCTCACGGTAAGGATGGCGACCCAGGAGCAGCATCCCAACGACACCTTGGCGAGCCTGCAGACGGAGTCCGAGACCTTGAAGACTAAGTTGGAGGAGGAAAGAGCCAAGCTGCACGATGTCGAACGTAAGCGACTGGCGTCCGAGACGCTGCCTTGGGTCTCTCCCTGGGTCATGATGGAGCCCATCATGGAGGCAGTGGCATGAAAACAGTACCATTTAAATATCCGATGAGTGTATAACGTGTGGCTTATAAGCTCAGGACCTCGCTTCTCTTTAGAATAGCAACTCAAATATTCATATACACGCATCATGGAAACGAGGTATATTTTTGTTTCTTACAATTGAATGTATGATTTAAATTAGCGTAGTTTACCGAGATGCTCTTATTTTACTTAAATAAACTGTAATTTAACAAAGCTATGCAGAAAATATAACTGGCTTTTTTGCTAGTATCGCTAGGGTTAGCTTGCTATGCATAGTAAACAACCAGTTGTTGTATATTCAGACCATTAAGCTATGACGCGCTCTAACAGACACTTTCATATTGATCGTTCTCAGATGTTGACATCAGTCCCTCTCGTTTGTATTTCACGAATAATAACCGAAATATAGTTTATATACTAGTTTTAAAGTTTATCCAGCTGCTAGGGTAAATGAACCGCGTCGCATAAATAGTATTTATCAGGTATTAACGCTGATTGTACAGTAGTGTGACAGACCGCGATATACTGAGGTTCTGATCAATCTCTGGGTTTTTCCCACTTAGGGATAGATTGGGATGATCTGAAGTTTTGAGGCTCTTTCCAGTTAGTAGATGGATATATTGATATTCACAGAGGTTCTGATTCCTCTCTGGTCTTTCCAGTCCATCAGGTTGCTGAGAAAGTAGACCCACTTGGTCAGTTTGTTCTGAAGACGAGGAGGACACTAAAAGGACATGGAAATAAAGTCCTCTGCATGGACTGGTGTAGAGACAAGCGAAGGATAGTGAGCTCGTCTCAGGTGAGATTTTTAGACATGACCCATTCCTGGGTCTAATATCCATGGCTATTTAGAAGTGAAAAGCCAATATTTTGAATATTATACTGAGAATCTTATTATCCTTTACTGGACAATGGATATTAAAGAGGTTCAGTAACTGTCTGAGTACATTGTTTTATTAGTGTGGCAATTTTGAGTTCTTTGATCTTCATTGATTGAAAACGGTTTGAAAAAAGTTGCATGGAGCACTGAAATGCTTTTATGAGTTCTGGAATAAATCAATTAACACTTATTTGGCCACTATTGTCCTTTTAGGATGGAAAAGTGATTGTGTGGGATGCATTCTCAACCAATAAGGTAAATTGGAATTCACTTAATGTCCACAGTTAAAAATATTTAAACTAATTAGAAGTACAAGATTTTGGTTCGTATTGTATGAGTTGCTCTTCATTAGAATAGCGCTTATAAATGATGCAAACATAATTAAAGCATTCTGCATCTTTTTAAAAATCAGCTGAGTGTGTGTGTGTGTGTGTGTGTGTGTGCGTGTCCCAGGAACACGCTGTAACCATGCCCTGTACCTGGGTGATGGCCTGCGCTTACGCCCCCTCTGGCTGTGCTGTGGCCTGCGGGTAAGTGGGTCCCAGGGACAGTAACGTTCCTTTACAATCGCTGACCATCCTGCTGGTCTGTATCAGTCTAAGATCCAAAAGCAGCACTAGGATTAGTACCAGAACCTATAAATATGTCAATGCAGATGTCAGAAACCACCTCGGCACCGATGTCACCCCTAGCTTTCTGCGGTTGTGGAAGCAGGTGATTAATGGTGTAAGAAGAGCTGTAGGAGTTCACTGTCCAGTTTGCTTAAAACCTTTTGTTCTCTGGCTCTCAGAGGTTTGGATAACAAGTGCTCAGTTTACCCTCTCTCCTTGGACAAGAACGAGAATCTGGCTGCAAAGAAGAAGTCAGTGGCAATGCATACCAACTACCTGTCAGCCTGCTGCTTCACCAACTCTGACATGCAGGTCAGGAGGTGCAGTGGGAGGGGTCACTGGATGCTGGGTGGGTCAGCCGTGGCTGTGGGTGAGCCCACTGAATGCTGAGGGGGGGGGGGTCAGCTATTACTGGCTGGACTCACTGCATGGTGGGGGAGGGGTCAGCTGTAGCTGAAGGTTGACTCACTGGATGGTGGGGGAAGGATCAGCTGTGGCTTGGGTGGACTCATAGAAGGGGAGAGGACACTTTCTCTACCTTCATATCCATTCATCAAGCACTGAAATAATTACACCCATGTTTTTAACAAATAACCAAGCTGGTGGTTTATCACTGTTAATGTCCCCCCCTCCCATTTTTTTTGAGCGCTCCTAATACCTAGGGCCCCCTTGGCATCTTGTTTTCATAAAACTAAAAAAGGCTCTGCAGGTCAGCAAGAATCCTTTCCAGAAGATAGTAGGTGATTTAATGCCCTTTCAACAAGAACCATGCACTGGCAGTACAGTTCATGCTCATTAATAATTCACAGCTCACACTGCTGCTGCTTGTAAAAAGTCACATGACATGGATATGCAGATACGTTATAATGTGAGTGTAGCCTTTATTCAGAAGGAATGTGTATATCTCCATGGAAACGCTGGTTCATATACAACTCGGTGTCAGGTTGTGTGGCAGTTGATAAAATGATACAGCTGTGCACAGCTACTGCTCTGTTCTGCTGATACTACAGACTGTAGATATAGCTAGTTGTCATCTTAGTTCAGTGTGACACATCTCTCAGCAACTGCCTTGCAGTAAATTTTAAGAGGTGCATCTTTCTGTCCATGGAGGATTATCCCTGATTTCTGCTGTAGAAGGTGTGGAAGGTTTTTTTTAATTGTGTGGACTTTTTGTTGCTTTAATAATCATACGCACGCTCACAGCGGTGGGTGTTTTTTATGTATGCCAAAGTTTAAAGCAACGAAGCCTCTTTTTGTGAGATACCAGGATGGCACTGGTGACTGTGAATCTGTCCCGGGAGACCGCCAACTTGTGTGGGCTAATCCAACTCGTGTTATGGTGGTACAGCTAGCGATGATGAAGAGTGAGAGCTGTCGAGCCTCCAGGCAAAAATCAGGAGTTAGCGCTGGGGGATCAAACGACAGAGAAAACCGAACAAGAGACACGTTCTTGGTAGCTTGGTAGTTTTGTGATTCTGGAAGTCAAGCAATGAAAAAGAGCTTTTTGTTAAAACTGCATTTCAGTACAGAGATCAGGCTTAAATGATTGGTGTTCTTAGCACACTGGTTGCACCTGAACAAGGTGAATATTTATTTTTCACAAATCCCCAGGGCACCACTAGGGTTGCAAAGGGGCATACATTTTCTAGAATCTTTCCAGAAACTTTCCATGGGAAGTAGGGTTGGAAAGGGGCAGAAAATTTGCTGCGGAATTTTGGAAATATTGAACTCCGCAGAACATATAGCATATGACTTATAAGCAGTGCATTTTGATGAAGATGCTTATTTTTGGGGTGTTTTTACTAAATTATTCACAAGCACAATGATATTACTATTGGTATCATCAAGATGTTTTTTTTTCAGTTCCCTGCTATAGACAAACCTGCAGTTTTGCAAATTTCCAGTTTATTCCCATTAATGCTCATACAGCTCTGGGGAAAAAATAAGAGACCACTGTATATTTTTAAACATTCTGCATTGTTAACTCCTGGTTTAATCCTGGTTCTGCTGGCAGAAGGCTACACTGCAAGGCAGGCTGCTTCCAGGCTCAGAGTTTCCAAGACGGCAGTACACAAGAACAAGGTGAAGCAGGAGACACTGGCAATGACCAAAAACCAGCCAGGTGGAGAGCAGAAGCAATTTCTAATGCCAGAGATGACTGTCAACTTATCCGGCAGTGCCTCATAAATCGGAGGATGACCTCAATGACCGTCAAAAAGACGGGGAAAAATTAAGTGATGTGAAGTGCACTGCTAGGACAGTTCATAACAGGCCCCTAGAAACAGGACTGAAGACCCATAAAGCTTTTATTTATTTTTTTTATAATGATCATTTTTATTGGTATGACACATACACCAAATCTTTCCAGGATCATATACTTCATACTTTTTTATATTATACAATATGTCATCCCATTATTTATCAAGAGTACAAGAATAAAAGAAAAAAAAGTACTATATATAGGTAGGGAGTGATCTTTGCCTTACAACTTAACCACCATAGGTCCAATCGGGCCTACGGGGTGCCACATAGTGAATCCATTTTTCCCAGTATGAAACAAATTGTTCTAATTTATGGTTAACAAATGCTGTTATCCTCTCCATTTCGTAAATGTCCATTGTAATTTTCATCCATGAATTTCATGTGACAACCATTTCCTGCCATAAAGCTTTTAAAAGAAAGAAGCCCTTCTTCATCAATGAGAAACAGGGAAGAGCCAAGCTGGAGTTTGCAAAAAATGTAGATTTTACACAGAGGAATAAGTATGTTTTCTTCTTTTAAACTGAGAAATGGGTGAAACTACAAATATTGCTGTGGTCTCTTAATTTTTTTGCAGAGCTGTATATTCCAGTTAATTCCCATGGAAAGTTTCCAAATTTGAAAATTCCCAGAATTTTCAACCCTAGGGCACCACTAGGGGGCAGTAAGTCAAAGCTGCCCATCCCAAAATAGAGCTAAGATTAGGCTAAAGCATTACAAGTGGTATATTTTGTATCAGCACGAGAAATGCACTTACATGAAACGCATGTATTCACGTGTATGTGTTCTTGCATTTTGACTGTGGGGCTGCATGCTCGATTGAGTCTTCATGCTTTCCGAATCGGGTTTGCGCGTTCTTGTAAGCGTGTGTGTGACTGCGAGTCACCACTGCGCGTGTCTCGTCTCGCTGCTGAGCCCAGATCCTGACCTCGAGCGGCGACGGGACGTGCGCTCTGTGGGACGTGGACAGCGGGCAGCTGCTGCAGAGCTTCCACGGCCACGGCGCCGACGTGCTCTGCCTGGACCTGGCCCCCTCTGAAACAGGCAACACTTTCGTCTCGGGGGTGGGTCGCCTGTCCCGAGCCATGAATCCGAGAAGCCCGAATCTACGCTGTCATTGGCTGATAGTCCCATACTGTCCGCCCCCTGCTTTCGTGATTGACAGGGCTGTGACAAGAAGGCCAACGTGTGGGACCTGCGCTCAGGACAATGCATCCAAACCTTTGAAACCCATGAATCAGACATCAACAGCGTGAGGTCAGTCTCTGACGTACCACACAGGGTTTTTTCCAGCACCCCCCCCCCTTTCTGACCAGCTGCCCCCCCCACCCCATGACTGCAGGTACTACCCCAGCGGTGACGCCTTCGCCTCGGGCTCCGACGATGCCACCGTGAGTTACTCTGTCACACCCGTCTCACACTTGTCTCACACCCCTCGCACTAGCACACCTTTGTCTTGGGATTGGTGTTATTTCAAAAGATCTGTTTGGATGGATGTATGATGGATGGATGGCTTGTTAGTCATATCAGTGCGTAATACTAATTTATCAAATGTACGTATTTACCAGTTTTTTTGCAGTTGTTTATCTAATTGAAGGACTAGTTGGGTTCTCTCACCTTGCCCCCCCCCCCGGGTTAAATCCCTTGGTCGACAGTGATCCCATTGGGCCCCTGAGCGAAGCCCTTAACCCTGACTGCTTCAGCGACTGGCTGATCCTGCCTTCTCAGTTCCGTGTCACTTTGAATAAAAGTGCCTATGAAATAAATGAATATAAATCTCTGTTAATCAATAATCAGCCTGTTTCTCTGCAAAAATGACTGCTTGGCACCAGTAATTTTTGCACATTGAGTGAACGATTAGTTCAACACAAAGAATCTGTAGATGCGGGTTAGAAAGACAGCCTTCATACACAACATTTAAACTGATTTATTTAGCGGTATATAAATGTCCAAAGCGACATACAAGTGAGGATGAGAGAATGCAGTATTCTAGTATCCCTGCAACCTTGGGATATGAACCAGTGACCATCTAGTCACAAGCACAGAGACATCTCATACCCCCATCTCACTAGAGTGAGAGCGGGAGCCTAGGGTATAGGACAACCAGCCCTATATAGTAATACTGTAAATACAAAATAATTATCCAATATAAATTATTTATGGAGTAATTTTTGAGAAACCAGTTTAATGAAATGCATGGAAGTGAGAAATCATGTCGAAATGCTCTGTGTGGAACTCAGCCCTCGTGTCGGGGCTCCTGCTGGCACATGTGACCGTGGCTTTGCAGGGACAGGCCGCAATATCATGAGTACGCCTCCCTTATCTGCTGAATGATCTGCAGCGAGTTGCAGTTTATGACCCCTGGCCGCTTCTTTTGTTACTTCCTCTGTTTCAGTGTCGGCTCTTTGACCTGCGGGCGGACAGGGAGGTTGCCATCTATTCAAAGGAGAGCATCATTTTCGGAGTGTCGAGTGTGGACTTCTCCCTTAGCGGTGAGTGTTCAAAAGGCAAATCAATCTACCCCTGCGCTCTACACGCCCCATTAAGCTCATCGGGCACAGCCAATCGTCACACTGTTCGCAGGATGCCTTCTTTTCGAGGTTTAAACTCGGGTGGCATGGTTGGGTAGCACCCTAGCCTCACACCTAGGGGGTTGTGGGTTTGAACGCCGCCCCTGGCTTTTCTACACAGTGTGTCTCTCTTTCCTTCACATTCCAAACACATGCAATTAAACAGAAAGGTGCCCTCATTGCAAGCTTGTGTGCCCTGCGATGGACTGGCATCCCATCCAGGGTGTCTCCTGCGCCCCCTACTGGTTATTATGGAAATTCCATTATTACGTCATGTCCAATTAATCCCCTCAGGAAGAGAAACCTAAATATTTTCTTCTAAGAAATACGGGAAAAACATCATTTTGAGGGAAATAGAAATAACTGTCCTGGTGTTAAAATGTTACATTGGCTGGGGGGGGGGGG